ACACACACACACACACACACACACACACACACACACACACACACACACACACACACACACACAGTGTCGGCAGATTTGCGCCTCGGCGTTCCGCTTGCCGCAGCCCGATGACGGGCTCCAGTCCAAGTGGAAAATCCAGCTTCTGCTGCACAATAAGAGGCGGCACTCAGGCGCGTCTGTTCGGGAACAATCGAACCAGTTCAGCTCATTTCCATGTTGGAGCTGGGAGATAGGAGGTGAGCTGTCTTTCAGCACCGTGCTGCTGAGGAGAAATGTGGTGTTCCGTGAGGCTATAGTCTCCAAACTAGACATCATCMGTTTTATTTTTACAAAGTTGAGTTTAAAGCTATAACTTACTAAAAAAATAAACAACTTGTTGATTGTTATTAATTATAATGGAATAAACAGGAGAGGTGAAAAGAAAACAAAAGTGTTCCTCCTCCTGTCTCCAACCCAAACTGTGTGTTTGTTTAGTTGCTGAAGTGGCACGCGTCAGGCGCGCGCAACTCACCGGTACCCTGTGCAGGAGTCCAAGGTGTACCCACGCGACCGGTGGGCGTGGCTAACCCCCCCTCGCTCATCCCAAACTCATTGAAAAGCGGAGGCGTCTGTCTGCAGGACACAGAGCTTTGAGAAGCGCGCCAGGCAGCAGCCCGGCGCACTGCCCCCAGAAACAAGTGCGCAGCAACACGTGAACGGCACGAGCGCGACGCACCGCCTGGAGACCCGGTGCTTCTTCTTTAAAAGTGATTTCTCTCTCTCTCTGGGAATGAACCTCACAGCCAAAATGGAAATTACCCAGCAGCAGTTGATGCCGCCCGCCTGCTTCTTCTCGGCCGCGGCGGCGGCGCAGAGCATCCAGCTGAGCCCGAGCGGCGGGAAGCCCAAGCAGCCCAAGCGGCAGCGCTCCTCCTCCCCGGAGCTGCTGCGCTGCAAGCGGCGCCTGAACTTCGCGGGCTTCGGCTACACGCTGCCGCAGCAGCAGCCGCACGCGGTGGCGCGGCGGAACGAGCGGGAGCGCAACCGCGTGAAGCTGGTCAACAACGGCTTCGCCACGCTGCGCGAGCACGTGCCCAACGGCGCCGCCAACAAGAAGATGAGCAAGGTGGAGACGCTGCGCTCCGCCGTGGAGTACATCCGCGCGCTGCAGCAGCTCCTGGATGAACACGACGCGGTGAGCGCCGCCTTCCAGTCCGGCGTCCTGTCGCCCACCATGTCGCAGGGATACTCCGCAGACATGAAYTCCATGGCCGGGTCCCCAGTGTCCTCCTCCTACTCATCTGATGAGGGCTCCTACGACCCCCTGAGTCCGGAGGAGCAGGAGCTGCTGGACTTCACCAACTGGTTCTGAGCATCTGTAAGCACAGATTATGTCCGTTCAKCTTAAACTGGTTAATTCTCTAAACTCCAAATTAAACTGGTGTTTTTTTCCCCCCTCCCTCACAGAAAGGATTAAACTCATCTTACTGCTCGGAGTGGTCCCGGAGGAGACTTTCTATCCTCAAGAACAAGATGCACTGCGTCCCAAAACCACCGGCCCTCATCGACTGAGAGACTGGACGGGCCCGAGTGGTCCTGGAAACTTTAGGGGGGGAAGATATCAGCCCAGACATCTGCGCCAAAGGATTAAAAAGAAGACGGTTCTCCCAACAGCGAGGGAGGGAAATCCCTGCTTCTGCCCGACAAAACAAAAGACCCTGAAGTGAATTCACGCTCCTCTGCAGCACACTAAAACTTTATTTAACATGTCGCTCCTCATCTATGCTAATAAGAAAAAATAATGAATAAAATCACACAACATCCACTTTGCTAAATCTCAGAATTCAGCAAATGCTTCCAAGTCGCGGATTTATTCTATTAAATTCTATAAACGCCTTTTTTGTTTCTTTTTTTATATTTAGAAATATATGAAGATATTTTTGTATGTAAGAGATTTATAGATGTTTTTGTACACATCCTTTTGTATATATTTTGTCTATATATTGCGAAGTTGCTTCTATTACCTCCTGCCAATGTAGATCTATTTCTCTCTGGCTCTTCTGTTCGTAAGGTTTCCAGAAGGAGTTTGACACTCAGATGTTTTATTCTCGCACCAACGTGTCTTATTTAATAGCAAAATGAAAGAAAAAAAACTCATGTTATTGCATTATGTCATGTCACAATGATCAAAAACTTATGCAGCTATTGTCCAAAAAGAAGTACAATGGCCATGCATTGTATGTTTGTACTGCCAGCTCTATATCTTCTTCACATAAACATATTTCTTATAACCATATTTTCTACACTATAGTTCAACAATAAAAAGCAGATGCTACTCACTATTTTCTCCATGTCTTGTTTTAATTTTTTTTAGGAACGAGGGTGGTTAAAGGTCTGATAAATACAAAAAAGTAAATATTTAGGGTCAAAAGTAACAGAATTAAACAATTTATTATAGAAAACATCACTTTACGCAAAGTTACGCACATTTTACGCACGATAAATATTCCTTTGAATTGTTCCAGATTCAATTGAAACTCGTGTACACCTTTATTTTATTAGTTTTCAAGAAACCTCGTATTGACCAGCTCTGTTCAGGCTTTTATGTGTTTTTTTATTTTTGTCTTAAAGCAACACGAGACCGTTTTATACAAGTGGAGAACCGTGCGTAAAAAGTGAGCATTCTCCACACGCTAAAGAATTTTATGTTTTTTTTGGCTGAACATTAATATGTGATAAATGGGTGTTTACGGAAATATTCTTGAATAAAACAAAAATATACATAAAACTTTATTTCTGTGCAGTCCTACAGAGAGTTTTATTCTACTTTGATCCGTGCGTAAAAGTTTTATTTTACACGAGAACTCCAAAGTTCTGATGGCTCTATACATTCCTGCTCACGTTTTAAAAAAAAAAGAAGAAGAAAAAGAATGTCATTCTAGATGCGTGCGGGTTGAAGTCTTTGTGTGACAGGTAAAGCTGCGGGCCGGGCGCGTGTCTTGCTTTACTGAGCGGATGGGGGGTCCGGGTGGTGGTTGAGTGGAGACACGGAGCTGAATTGGCTGATGGCGTGTGCCTCCTGACAGCAGCATGCCGCTGAACACACAAACACCACCTGCGGGAAAAGGAGGGGG